TGCAGTGACCACAGAGATCTGAAGAGAGTGTTGGATCCCCTGGAACTGGAGTTAGGGACAGTTGTTAGCTGCCATGTGGGTGCTGGGAATCGAACCCGGGTCCTCTGTGAGAGCAGCCAGTGTTCTTAACTGCTGAGCCATCTCTCCAGCCCCCATATTGAGGCTCTTTCTAACCCTTAATTTTTTTTTTTTTTTTTTACCATCGTAACAAATTTGTTTTATCAGTTTAATGTACTGTTGATTTTCCTGTAGTATTATTTGGCCAAAGGTTTTTTTTTTCCAGGATATGGATGCCTGTATCTATATCATTCTTGTGATAAAAACAAAGAGAGAAAGGGTTTATTTTTCCTTGGCTGTTAACTTTGGCCAGTTACCTTCCTTTTGTAGAGAGGAGCTCTCTTCTTCACTTCTCTTAGGAAAAAAATGGAAAATTGAGAGACAGAGGCAGGCAGAGTTTTGTGAGTTCAAGGCCAACCTGATCTGCATAATGAGTTCTGGACCAGCTGGGGCTACAGGGAGAGTCTGTCTCAAAAAGACCAAAAAAAAAAAAAAAAATGGAAAGAAGCATAGCCTGTAGATATTGCCCTTGGAGCTGAGAAGGAAACCCTGTGAATATTGGGAATTGTATACCTTTCATTTCTAGAGTTTCTGTTCTGGTACTTAAATTGATCAAATGTGGCTGTCATTTAAAAAAATCAGGATGTTGAACTAATATATTGACTCTTCTGATTTTAAAGGCTAAAGCAGTAGCTGCAGAATCTAATGCGACATTTTTTAACATAAGTGCTGCAAGTTTAACTTCAAAATATGTAAGTGTTCTTTTTCTAGTATTGTCGTGTTTTAAGTTACAGCCTAAATGTTGCTACTTTACATATAAATGATAACAGTATTAAGCAAAAATTATTTTTCTTTGAGTTTTATGACTTGTTATTTATGTATATCAGCTATATACACTTGTTAGCTCTTTTAAAATTAGAATCGTATTGTTGAATACTATAATGGTTTGCTAGGACCGCTTAACAAAGTACCATAAGCTAGCTTTGTCAAGCATCAGAAATTTATTGCACAAATAAATAGGATCTAGAACCACATGTTCAGGAAGCTGGAAGTCCAAGATGAGTGTCAGCACTGTTAATACCTTCTGGGAGCCGTGAGGGTGAATGTGTCATGTCTTTTCTAGTTTCTGGTGGTGTGCTGGCAGTCTGACAGTTTTTGGCTTGCAGGTGATCACTTTGATCTTTGCCTTTATCTTCATATGACATTCTCTCTGTGGTCTCTGGGTTCAAATCTCCACCTTTTATGTGAACACAGTTTCATTAGATTAGGCTCACCCTAATGACCTCATCTTAATTTGATCATCTGTAAGGATGCAATTTCCAAATGAAGTCACATTTACAAATACTAGGGATAGGGCTTCAACATGTTTTGGGGGATCACAATTCAAGTCATAATAAATACCATCACTTCCACTTTATCTTCCTAACGTGGTTATCTGGAGAGCTAGCACATATGAGAACACAAAGACTTACGGTAAACTGGATAGCTCCAGCTCTTTGGCTCTAAACTAAAATATGACATAGGACTTTCTCTGTTGTCTTTTGAGCTGGTTTATATTTCCTTTCTAAGTTTCCTTCCACTGACATTATAGTGGTATTCAAAGAACAGTTAGTCCAGTTTGGGGTTAGTTCAGATATAACTATGGGGTTTAAAGAGAGCTGGGGAGCTAGCTCAGCCAGAAAAGTGCTTGCTGTATAAGCATGAGGACCTGAGTTCGATCTGCAAAACCCGTATTAAAAAAAAAAAAAAACTGGTGTGACAGCAAGTACTTGTAATCCCAGCCCTGGGGAGGTACACAGGAGTCTCAAGCTCATTGGAGATCACTAGCCTATCCTAGCCTACTTAGTGAACTCCAGGCTACTGAGAAACTTTGTCTCAAAAAACCAAGTGGAGGAGTGACACTGAATATTGTCTTCTGTCCTCCATACATGTGCATGAGCATGCATGTACATACAGACACACACATGCACACACCCAAAAAAAGCCCAAACCCAAATCTCTCTTGAATGTATAGAGTGAGTGTAAATGGAACTGTTATATTTGAAATGTTTCTGTAAACTCTTATTTTGATTTTTCTTTCTCTCCTTCTCCTTTCCTTTGTTGTCCAGTGCTATCTTAGTCTCTGTTTGCCCTTTGCAAAAACCCTTATGGTTGGACCAGGAATATAGCTCAGAATGAGTATCCTCAAGGCCATGCTTGAGGTTCCACCACCAGCACTACAAACAAACAAACAAAAAAAAACACAAACCCTTTTATTGCTGAAAGTGTTTTAACAAACTTACTTAAATGGAAGTATGAATCTGAGATTAAAGGATTACTTGTAAAAGTTTTAAGTGCACTGAAATACAAAAGTTTCTAAGCATTTCCCAGGAGAGATTCAGAATAGCTTTACTGTCATGAATTTACATCAGCCTTCAATTTAGCAAAGAAAGAATTTTAATTTTTTTTATTATTACTTTTTGAGGCAGGTATGTTACCCAGGTTGGCAGCTAACTCCCGGGATCAAGTGATTCTCTCACCTCACTCTCCCAAGAATTCCATCTGTAGGTGTGCACCACTATGCCTGGCTAGAAACTTGATTTCATCAGCATTCTCACAGCAAATCCATCTTAGAAACAGACATGAGGTCAGAATAGTCGAGCTGTTGTAAATAGCATACAATCTCCCTATAATTACACGTGTATGGGATGGTTCCTTAAAGGTTTGTATAATGAAAAACAAAACAAGACAGCAGCACGCATTGACACTTGTTTATTTTGTGGTTGACACTGCTAGTTGGGTCCAGTTTTTGAAGTCCATTTACTTAGAATCTCAAAGTTCTTTAGATATTATTATACTTTTCCCTATAATAGGACTTTTCTTTATGGAGTTTTCTTTATGAGCAACACTATCTTCTGGTTCATTTGCATTTGTTCCTTAGCTACCACTGGCAATGTGACAACCTTATGAGCAACACTATCTTCTGGTTCATTTGCATTTGTTCCTTAGCTACCACTGGCAATGTGACAACCTTCCTTGAGCCTCTGAACAAATTCATTACTCCTTACTCTTCACTCAGAACCATTTACCTCTCATTTGTAATGCAGACTGAAGTTCATGCAATTTATTTCATTTATATCTAATATCACCATCACCTCTGCTAAAAGGCACTCTTTGTGTCTCTTTGTGGCCCCAGCTAGCCTAGAATTCGCTAGGTAGACCTGGCTGGCCTTGAGCTCATCTGCCTTTGCTTCTTGAGTGCTGGGATTAAAGGCATGTGCCACTACACCCGGCTAAAAGGCACTCTTAAGGAGCACAGATCTGGACACTCTTTTCTCAGTGTTTTTCATAGTATTTAGAGTAGTGTACTAGGCAGTTAGTAGCTACTAATTAAATATTTATGGACTAAATAATCATATGAATATAAATATTGCCTTTTACCACTATTTTATTTTAAACTGAATAGCACATAAATTTTCTTATGTACTCAGAATCTCATATCAGAAAATATGGAACTAGAATTTGAGTACCACTGAATATGGCCTAAGAGCCTAAGCCCTTTCAGTCAAATTTTTATAGCACCCAGTCTCTTTCTTTCACACACTAAGTAAAATAGTTCTTTTTCTTATTGCTCTGATAGAATAACTGACAAAAATAAGCTTAAGAGAAAAAGAGTTTATTTTGGCTTATAGTTTGAGGGGATATAGTCTTACGATACGGAAGATAAAATGACTGCTGACATTGTATCTGTAGTCAAGAAACAGGGGGGCTAACGGGGGAGGAATATGGAATGTTGCTGGGGGTGGGAGTGGTGGTGGGGGGATGAAATGTTGCTACTCAGCTTGCCATCTTCATTTTATCCTGTCCAGATCCCAGCCTAAATTGGTATCTTTAATGATTTTAAATTTTCATTGTAGAAATCTTTGGTCAGATTTATTCCAAGATTTTTTTTTTTTTTTTTGCAGCAATTGTGAATGGGAGCATTTCCCTGTATTCTTTCACCAGTTGCTTGTTATTGCTATATAGAAAGGCTACTGATTTTTATACATCGATTTTATAACCTGCCACTGTTACTGAAAGTGTTGATCAGTTCCAGGAGTATTCTGGTGAAACTTTTGGGATCTCTTAGGTACAGTATCATATAATCTGCAAAAAGGGATAGTTTGACCTCTTCTTTTCCAATTAGTACTCCTTTAATTTCCTTCTCCTGTC